ACGCCTCGTTCCTAGTCGTATTTCATTATGCTTACTATCTAGCGGGGTTGATCGACGTGTGCCTTTAAGGCACAGAGATTCAGGGGTAATCCAGAGTGTGAGAACACAACACGACTTGTCGAACCACAACTCAGTAATTTAGCAGAATGCAGAGCATTCGGTGGTAACGTCACCAAATTATCACCCCGGAGGACGAGTGTNAAATTGTATCTTTGTATATTCAATAAAAGGAAGTAAAATGAAAAAAGTGCACTATGGTGATTGATATTACAAGGTGTGATAAGTCGTAAATTTATCGCTGAAACGTTTTGAGAGGACATTCGGCGAGTTGGTTGGGGTAGTTCATCACATTCTAAGTAACGCTGTCATGAATTTCAAACTCACCGCTTATTTCGTGAACCATTGTTTACTTGATTTACGGTTTACCGCAAATCGACCGCCGTTTTCTTGAGACATAGGGCCGCGCTCGATAGCATTTAGCATTGTTCTTTGGGATAAACATTACCAAGGTTAGATGAGGAACTTTAGGTACTCGCGCGCCGACCTCCATAGATTGCGCTACCCGAGGCGTCTTCAATTAGGCTTTCTCGGCATACGATGTTTGTCGAGGCAGGTAGTTGTTTGAATATGATCGAAGGTCGTTAAAATGAAACCGGGCATTAAGATTCGGGAACCCTGACCAGGGAACTCGGGCACAAAGGTCGCATTAGACTTCCCGATTGGAGACCCGGGAATGGTTTGATACTGCGAATAATAAGGTTGAATGTGGTAAACAGTGGCGATCATACATTTACACAATATCCTCATAACCTCAGTCCACCTGTATTGTTTATCCTCACATTAAAACTGGTTCCACTGACGTACGTTCCTGTTGTAATCTGCCTGGACAACTGATTCAACAATACCTTGCCACATTTCATTTCTTCGATACTCTGTGTTCAAACTGGCTTCCTTCAATGTGAGAACACTAATGCGTACAAAAAAACAAGCAGGTCTGGTTCGTACGCTTGACTGTCTAGAGATTGGTGTGCGTTGCCTCTCGGAAACATGCATTCAGGATCCCATCTCAGTAATCCGATTAACATCTCCTAACCCGAAAGAGACTTTTCACCTCCCCTTTTTCCGAACACCCTGATACGACAGCGTCCGATCAAACCGGCGTTGGTATCACCGTGAGCTCCAGGATTCAGGCTGTTCTATTTTACTGGTTCCCAATAGACAGCCGACTGTGTACGGTTAGACTCCGAAGTTCGTACGATGTCACCGAGCAGAAATCAAACGAACAATGCTTATTCGTGGTTTCTGTATGTGCTCCCACAGACTGGAGCATGGATACAGTCAAAGACTAGTTATACCACAATCCATATGAGCTTCTCAAAGTGTCTAAAACAGATATCGTGAATATGGCCTGAGACCTTAGCTGTCTGTTGTTCGATGATGCTCACTTTGGTTGTTCTCATGACTTTGATAGTTATCGTCCCAATAATGGGGATCGACTTTACATTTTTACATCCTTTAAACATAGATCTATATGTTCAGAGCACGGCCTGTTCCTCATTAGCACAATATTCAGATAGCCAAAGCGTCACCTCGCCACTTGGTGTAACCCCTCTTCGACGCAGACGTGGACGCAGGTTGATCACATTGTCATAAGCTTAAATAGAGATGGTGTGTGAAAGTCTGTCATTTGTACTGTTTATCTGCCTATACTCCAACCACGCACTGATCTGTGTCAAGAGATGTAAACACTATTCACTAAATAAAAAAGGGAGTAAAGTACATTAATTTATTTAATTATTCATAGGTTGTTGGAAGATTGGCAGGAACCTGTTTGTGCACTTTTATCCGGTAAAACACCTCGGAAGTAGTCGACGGTTTTCTCTACCCCTGAAGTTGCATGACGCCTGGCGGAGGTATGGGTAAGAAAACCTCTCAACGCGTAATCGAATCAAGATTAACCTTCGCTAATCTGTGTATAGCTTAACGGTACGTGCTGTGTTGCTTTACAGTGGCAAACCATGGCTTCTCCGAACAGATCATGTGTAGCGATTGTGTTTTTGACAACCATTGTCTGCGCAGCGTTGCCCGTGTATGGCAGGAATATCATGTTTGTAACGATGAAGTCAGATCATGTTTTAGGATCAGATAGTTCTCCTTTGAGCAATACCATTTCACTTCATCATCTGAGGTGGCTGAGCATATCCTATTATCTTGAACAACTTCTGCCTACCGTGCGCTATTCGCAGATATTTAAGCAGATCGGAGGAAACAGCTATATGACAAGCTATGACGTGGCGATGGGGTTGAGGAACTTGGACATGGCTTCCTTTGGGGGCTCTTCGACTTCCAGGCGAGATCCCAAAGATTCAGATAATCGTTGGCTGGTGACACCGCGGGTTTTGATATTAAATGGAATGTCAATGGCGTGAATGCACCCTTTTCACGTTTGCAATACCAAG